ATATCCGTATGGATGTTATTCATATTAAATGAACGCGCCAGAGTTTACATTAAATATTAAAGACCTAATTCGACTAACGAGTCAACTGTCCAGTTAACTACATACACAAGTTTCTCATAATTGTATTTTAGCACGTTAATGAGCGAAAATATTTCTAATAAAATAAATGAAAATAAACGAAATCTTAATTAGTTCAGCTGTGACAGGCAACGTTACTTTTATGATTGTTTCGATTAAAGGTAATGCAATGTCGCGCTCTAGAAAATAAATCGATTAACCGATTACGAATTTTCAATAGAAAGGACGATCAATCACCATCGCTGGGCATCAAGTCCCTGATATCTCGCGATTATCCGGTATACAGACGGGTGGAACGTTCGGCGCGAGATTTGCTCTGAAATTCGCTTCTTAAATTCTTGTTAGCGGAACATAGTTCTCCGGCCATGGTCGCGGATTCCATTTACTGATTGGATATGGCATCAGTTATTCATCGCTGTTAGTCGAAGGAGAGAACGAGAGAGAGAGAGAGAGAGAGAGGAGCACGTGCGGCCGTTATAAATACGGCGGATTTCCCGTCGGTATGCCGCTGCATTTGGAAATTCTCGACGGGCCTCCCCCTCAAACGTCCTCCCATCCTTTCCATTACATCGCTCGCGCACGTCCATAGTTGATCGTCGCACTATCAATAAAAAAACAGACCTCCCGTGTAATTCTCTCGTATACACGGCAGCTTAGAAAGATGCTGCCAAACTTGGAAAAGTATTCTCCTCACGCTAAAACCGAAGAAAAGTTGCGCAATAACTAATATATCGGCCTTATGGCACATCAAAATTCCCCAACGATTTTCAACCCTCGATTTCTTACAAAAATTCTGATATGATAAATTCACGATGATAGTTTCTAAGAAATACGAATAAGAAATATCACAAGATATAAAGAGAACTCTCATTTAATTTAGTTTGTTGATCGCGAAAATAATTATATCAATGATTTTTTCACGATCTTTGCAATTACATTATATCTCGTTTTTATCGTAAAAAGATGAAGATTGACCGAAAGGGTATTCTATTTTAATCAAATAGATAATACACGAAAAAAATGATTTTACTGAAATATTTAAAACAATTAGATCTGAAAATAATTGAATATCAAATTAATTATATGTAGAATACTCAAGCTCGTTGCCGTTGCCAGAATATAAAATATACTTTTTTGCAGATTATGCTTGAATGTCCTAATTATTTTGATGATCCACCAAAATTAGTTTTAGATCTGTATCTAGTTAAATTTTTAGATATTTTAGTAAAATCGTTCTTTCTGTGTAAATTAAAATTTTCGGAATTATTTCTAGATTCATTGAAATTGAGACATACTTGATGGAAGAAGCGATCAAAAAGGAGAACGCGAAGTCGAGTTGCTATTATGTTTATAATCTTTGAGATATATATCAATGCAATAAACACATTCACAGGGCAATATGATGAAGTAAACTCAGGAAATACGAGCGTATGATTCTGTGCTTCTGAGAAGAACAATATGTGGTTTGATGAGTCGTGAGATATACGTCTGTGTTCCTTTGACATTTTACAATTTGATTCCAGATGACATTATTGCGGACGTTTTTTATTACGATTTTCCTGTTATAATTAAATCCTAATTCTAATCAAATTAAAAAAGCTGGAAATCGAATAAATTTCACGCGCAAATCAGGTTAAAGAACAAAGTGAGTTCCGGAAATAAATATGTCTCAACAGATAATTTCTCGTTAACGTAATTGTTCTCATCTTTCCTTCCATGATTTATTGCGCTCTCCGTTTGAACTAATATGAAGATAAGTTGTTCAAAATAAGTTGTTCAAGAATCGAAGGGATAAAGAACTCTTATAGAATTTTAATGTTGAAGGTAGTGATCAATTATTTATTTTAAGAACATTGTTGTTTAATGCTTTCTTAGAAAAGAAAGTTGTTTAATTAAGCGTTCTATGCTTTTAATACTAAAAATAAGTAATTTAACAAAATGAAAAAATTATGAAAAAATGTTTTTCTAAATTGTATTTGTAACATAAAAAATGTTTGATGGTGATTTAGAATTTAAATAAAAATTATTTCAATAAAAAGTAAATATACATGTTTTAAAAATAATTAAGATAAATGAGAAAATTTTCATTTAAACTTCAAAATTGTATCGTTAAATACAAATATTGATCTCTCTCTTTTATTTAACTTTCGTATGTATATAACATTCATTTTTATATATTTTACGAATTATATACATTTCCAATCCCAGTCATTTTTTACAGAGACTATACATATATACCTGAAACTATATATACCTGAAATCTTTAAATTGGATTTCTGCAAGGAAAGAAGTGAGGCGTATAAAGTGTTTGTTGTTTCACGATTGAAACGGATGGAGTAAATCCGACGACTATTGTTCCAGCCGAGAAATGGTCAGTTACACGCGCAACGATGCTGACGTACATCGGATACGATCGGCGTCGCGGGTAGAGTCACATGGGCGCGCGCGACCGACGACAGCGAGAAACAAGGGCCGGCGGAGCCGATCGATCTGTTCACCGCCGAAAATACACGCGCACACGTACGGTGGCGAGTATCCCACATTTTCTGTGCCGGGGCTGCGCGATACAAAACGCGGAAACTGCACGCACAGTGGTCCAGAGAGCGGTGGCTGACTGAAAGAGGGGGAGAGAGAGAGAGAGAGAGAGAGAGAGAGAGAGAGAGACAGAAAGACAAAGAGAACGGAGGGAGGTACATAGCAGTAGAAGGCTTGCGGAAATTGTAGCCGTGCGGTGATTCTGGGCGATTCCGAGAGATGAGAGTAAAAGCTATGGCACACAAAAAACATAAGCAATAAGCGAAATTGGCTATAGTAAGAGACTATAGGGCAAACAATCTCTAGATCAGATCGAAAATAGTTGATTTGCTTACCGCTTATTGTCTACTCTGCAATAGCCGTAAAATCAAAATTGATCAATTGTAGTCATCTTCTCTCTGAATTATTTGGAATGAATTTCACTCTCTTTTTCAAGAGTGGCAGAATTTTCATTCCTTTGGAGTCACATTCGAAAGAATTTAAAGAGTTTCTCGCATTACGATTGTGGTCAATTTTTACGGCTTATTGCAGAGAGTGGGCATATATCTTACTTAAAATTTTTTTTTTGTGTGCCACAGCCTTGAGTTTGGAGCTCGTCGAATTGCGGCAACGCGCGAACTCGATCTCGGCGACTCTCGTGCGATGACCCGCGCCACGCACGTTGCCTGTCGTCATTCGGACGCCCGCAAATAACGAGACGCCTTGCGAATAGCTTTACACCGACGCTCCCCGCTCTCGTTCACGGCCTTTTCACGGTCTCTCACTGTGCCGCGTACGCGTGCGCCACTGATAAAGTTATCAGGTCGAGAGTCTGAATCCTTTTATGCCGAAGAATGCGTTCGTTCGCAATCCAATTTCTACCGGAATACTGAAATATCGAAATGTTCTCGCGCGACCGTTTATCGGCCGCTTTTCGTTTCTCGATGTTCGTCGAAACGGAAATGAATTTTGAAAAATCTGCGGGGATTCGTGATCCTATAGAGAATCTTTTTCTTCATACGCAAGAAGTTCTTTTCAGCTTAATTTTTTTTACACCGTTCATTTTTTCTCTTTTTTTTTCCTTTAACGTGAGGAGAACAAAAGAAAAGACGAACCGCGTCCAATGCGAAACATATGAAAGATTATCTGCAGGATGACGAAGCCTAAAAAAACAGACTCAAGAATAAACATGATCAGAGAAATTCATTTGACGAATTTCTGGTCTGTACGTATTTTGAAATTATTCGGAATGGAATTTCAATAGGAATTATTCAATTATTCCCTAGATTTCTATTGTGTTTTCCGGGAAAAACGTAATAATTCCAATCAGAATCCATTCCGAACATTCCATAATACGTGCTCTGTTTCGACTTCACGTTGCATTTATGAGAATTGTTGCCACGACAACTAGATCCTCTTAGATCTCAATTCGAGAATAGAAAGAAGTCGGTTAAAAAAAGTAAGAATAAATCGGGGAAACGTAAGCTCGCAGCAAGGTCCACTGAACATTGATACTCGCGCCGGGGATTCTCGTATCGCTAAGTTTCATATCACATGCCGCACGCGTCGCGCAACAAAGTGCACAATTCTATACGTTCTTTCGCCAACCGGAAAGCTCAAGGTTATCCGCAAATTGTAGCTGCAGCTCACACTTTTCAATATCAGTCTGTTCATATACAATCGCTATTCAGACAGCCGTAAGATAGGAGACACTGCGATAAACGGATAAACGATAAGATCTCCGGAGATAATCTCTGAATTTTTGGAGTCAGCCTGAACTGATAGGACGCTCTCAATTTCGAAGATATCAGTCCACACACAACACACTCTTTTCGATAACTGAAAGAGCTCTTCTCAGATCAGCGACGTATTTTAATCAATCAGGCAAAAATTACTCACTGGACGCTGCAATCTTTGATCGGCTACGTTTCGTAAGATATCAACGAGCCACATTGATACGATCATCGGCTACTCTCTTCTCGCGATAAACGTTACGAAAACTTACGAGAAGATGCATCACACAGGCTCCGATATTATCGAGAAGTCCAGGGACAGATGGACGAAACGAATGTGCGAGTGAGCGAGCGAACGAGTGAATGCTGATGTAACGCACGCGCACGATCGGCGACGGCCGGCTGCGTCGCATCTCCGAAACTCCGACTACTCCGAGATCCTCGCAGCACGCAACGCAGCAGCACACAACGTGACACGATGCACGTCTCGCGCGTAACTGAGCGACCGTCTCGACCGCTTCGTCGACGCTCGGTCGTTTCCGCAACGTACATGGCGGGAGGTTCGATCTCATCGCTTCTTTGTCTATGACACGGGAACGCCAACTGCTCTCTCTCTCTCTCTCTCTCTCTCTCTCTCTCTCTCTCTCTCCTTCCCCTTGCGCTTCCTCACCCCGTTCACGCTGCTCCAGGGGCTTCACCGTACTCTTTCTGGCCATCGTCGATTTGCGAGTTTGCGGTTGTCTCACTCACGCCGACGACGATGCGCACCGAGGGATGAATAGAGGCTGCTGCTTTGGCGAAGCGAACGGTACAAGGGAGCGAACACAACTGCGCCAAGAATCTTTCAGTACCCTAGTAAATACGAAGAAAGGTGGTGTGCTGGGATTTTCAAGTTTAAACAGGGGAAGATAGTGATGTGAGGTATATCTACACCAATGCTTCGGCAAGCATCCCTCAGGATTTACGGGAAGTAAATGTATATATACGTATACAACAAGCGATGGCAACGTTAAAATCTATTGCCTGTTAAATTAACGCAATGAATTAGCGCTTTAAGCAATCTTGGTGAATGAGATTTGTGTGGATGTTCCATTGATCGACATGCTTAAATCATTAAATCTGCATCGTATTGTACGTATTGAAGTATGTAGGTATCGTCTTTCCTGCGTATCAATATTGCATTTAATTAACTTTTCGAACTGCGCCAAAATTTGTCATACACAATTTCTGACGCTGCGTTAGGAACATTTAATTTGTATTAATTAAAAGGCACTAATTAATTACAAGGAATTAAAATGATACGTGATGAACTCGTATAAAGAATGAATAGTAAACATATTTTAATAAGAATAATTCGAATTTGCAGATGTAATAAAGAAAATTGAATTACTTGACGTTTTAACAAAGAGATTTATAATTAAGTGGATTCAATAGACTCAACTCTGGAAGATTAAATGTAGCGATAGAGAAAATAAATCTTTTCTTCTCTCGTGTCATTAGCGTTAATACAAAGAAATTTTTTGTATACATAATTATTGACAGGTGGTGCGTTCTCATAAAGTGAAATAATCTACAATTATCGCCACTTGTAATACGAAGGAAAAAAATGAAAAAGATAATTTTGCTAAAGTATCTAAAAATTTAGTCAGATAGAGATTTGAAAATAATTTTGTTGGACCATCAAAATAATTCATTTATTAATATTGTGAAATGTTTGAAGTGTTCACTAATGCGAATGATTATTATTTTTATTAATTTACTGTTATGTGAAAATAAATTTATATATTTTTGTCATTACATGATGTTAAATTTATATACACCTTTTTGTTTTAGCTTTTAAAAGCAATTTTTATTTCTTTTGATTTATTTTCTTCAGAGACTTAATTTATTTATGTTGTTCAAAATGATTATGTAGGATGTTCAAACATGATGAATAATGCTGCAAAAAATTTTGACATTTTAATAATTAATTTGAGCTTGTATATCTATAATTAAACTTTTAGACACTTTAATCAAATCGTTTTGTTTTTTCATGAAGAGAACGAATAAAAAAGATTAAAACTCTTGCGCGGAACAGAATTTCGCCGAAGCAATGATTTTCACGTCGAAATAGAAATATCTAATTTTCTCTCAGAGGACCGGCTACGCTTAAATTGGTGGCTAAATTAGAAATCGTCCCGGTAGTGGCGCCCCTGCGAAACGAGAGACGCTAATGCGGTCAACTAAAGTAAAAAGCTAACTGAAGGAGTGGTAAGTAGACACTAACACTTCCGGGCGAGCGACTCGATATCGACGGGGGTGGGTGTGCTCGCCTCGGTTTTAGCCCCGAATTAATTCTTCGAGGGTGGTCGAGCTCCCTCCATTACCGCCGGTGGAACGAGCGGCAGTAAAGTGTTCCGCCTTAAAAAGAATACATGTACCTTCATCCTGACGCCTGTAGCAATGCTTTTCTCTTCCCTTTCTTCCTTCCTCTCCCTCCCGCCGCGCCGTTTCGTTCTTGGCTCCGGTACGATGCGGTGAGTTTCCTTGAAGATTTTAAGGGAAGTCCGGGATTTTCTCCGGGCTCGATCCTGCATCAGAAAGTTCCACCGACCATTGCTTGACTGTCTTAAAACAGCGAAAGAATCATTTACTTTTTGACAGAAAGAAAAAGCATTGTATTTGCCACACTTTCTAATAACTTTTTATTAGAACGGTAATAATTGTAAAAGCTTTTTCTTCAAATAAATTCTTTGTTTCGGAAAAATTATTATGAGTCGACTTCACTAAGGTCGAAATTATTAATTATTCTTCCGAAACTAAGAATATATCGACTAACTTTACTGAACATTGTACAAAAGATTCGTCTTTTGTAATAAAACTAATGTACACTTTTAGAACTTCAAATGAAATAGATATACATATGTTTGAGGAAAGCGAGAGAGAAAATTCTAGTGCAGGAATAAAAAATAGATCTAATGTAATATGCCTTCTTCATTCACTTTTTCAATTATATTGTACTTAAATTTTATACAAATTTAGTCTTGAACAAATAAGGGTGCGTCGCGTCGTCAGCGCGGTAACAAAACGTTAATCACGCTTTCCTAATAACTGTTTCGAGACAAGAATGTTCTGGAACAAAGTTTCGTGTTTTGTTAGGTCAGGTATGTCGCAATTTGTTGACTCAGCTTTCAATTTCTTGTCCAGGAAAGACTGACCATCGATGAAGGCTACAAGTCGCCTGGGGCTCTGAGTACGCACAAAAGCATTTTTCCAGTGAATTCTTTGGTTTAAACGGTTATAGCCTATGGATCTACTCTGCCTGTAAGGAGTGAAACTAATTATACTTCGCGTTAGTGGCCTTCATTTGTGGCAGCTGTTTCTGTTCTAGTAAACGCCTATTGAATGTGTTCAAAGCCGAAGGCGCTGGAATTTCTGCCTTTATGTCGACTTTAAATAATTAAAACTTCAAAAAATTATTAACACTGAAAGAACAATTTTGCTGAAATATCTAAAAATTTAACTGGTTGTAAATCTAAATATAATTTATATTTTGTTGATAATTATCAAAATAATTATGTAGGAAATTCAAGCATAATGCAGCAAAAAATTTTGATATATTAACAATCAGCTTGAGTATACTGTATAATTAATTTGTTCAAAATTATTTTCATATCTTCTGTAGCTAAATTTTTTTATATAAAATCGTTTTTCCTGCAGATATGTATTATGATTTAAATAAAAAAAAATATAAAATATATATATATAT